TCTATAGGTCCCAAACTGAACTCTATGGGGCATATAGGATCCTAAAATTCCATTAGGTTCCTATAGGATCCTATATGCCCCATATTTTCCTATATGCCCCAAGACATTTTCGTAAGGGTATGCATGCATGTTCGTCAGTGCTCATATGTTTTCTCGTTTTCCGGTTTTGCGTTCTATATATTTCGAAGGAGAGATCGCGGAGGTTCCGAAGAGAATCTATCGAACAATTAAGAGTTGAGAGAGGAAATTTGGCCCGGTCTTAGATATGGCACTGTAGCAAACGCAAATAATAGTTTCGCATAAAAGTTCTTATCGCGTGTAAAATAAATCACGAATTCATTTATTTCTTACAATTTACTTTCGGAAGGCACGGGGAAGTGGCAGTTTCTTTGACTCTCAGCACGAATAATAAGAGCGTTTCAATCGCAAAAAAAAAATAACGAAATGGCAAAGCCTCTGCGATTTTCATCGCAGATCGCAAAATCGGCTGGCTTCATACCGTCGATCTCCCACGGAATGCAAATTTCTCCCTCCCCAGGGAAGGGAGGGCGGGAAAAGATATCATAGCGACTGGAGGCGACTCCATTGCATGACTCCATTGCATGACTCCATTGCATGACTACAGTGCATGACTACAGTGCATGACTACATTACATGACTACATTACATGATGACGGAACATCAAGAGCGCACAGAAATTTATGCCAGCTAACTTGCAACTGCTCCAATTTTCTAAATAATAGTGAAATGAGACTGGCGACATTCTCATTGCCCGCTTTCGAAGCGAAGGCAAAAAAAAAAAAATGACTCGAGAAAAATGATGTCATCATGCAGCTGTCTCCTCATGCCGCTGTCTCACCTTCTCGCCAGGTGGGGATCGTGGGCAGATCGGGGGCCGGGAAGTCCTCCCTCATGCTGGGACTCTTCCGCATCGTCGAGAAGGCGAGCGGGAGGATCGCGATCGACGGCGTGGACATCGGCCGGATCGGCCTCCACGATCTGCGCTCGCGCCTCACGATAATTCCCCAGGTGAGGCGCGCGAGAGATTAATTTCGAATTTGATGCAATATTTTTTATGAGATGTTCCCTTGGGAATAGGACCCTGTGCTGTTCTCTGGGAGCCTCCGCTCCAACCTGGATCCTTTCGAGAAGCATTCGGACGAGGAGGTGTGGAGGGCGCTGGAGCTGTCGCACCTCAAAGCCTTCGTGAAGGGACTCCCGCAGGGCCTTCAGAATCCCGTTGCAGAAGGAGGACAGAATTTCAGGTAGGCGCGCGCCGCGCGACTCGAATAAGCCTAATGAACTGCCTAATGAGCTGCATAATGAGCTGCATAATGAACTGCCTTATTAGCTGCATAATGAACTGACTTCCTTTTCCCAGCGTCGGCCAGAGGCAACTGGTCTGCCTCGCCAGGGCGCTCTTGAGGAAGACCAGAATCCTTCTCCTGGATGAGGCAACGGCCGCGGTCGATCTGGAGACGGACGAACTCATCCAGGTGAGCCGATCGCTCATCCTATTGGATAACGTGGATTGCTGCCGATCGCCCCGAAGTAAATTCGCAGGCAATCCCGTGCTTTGGTATTTCTCGGGCAGATCTGGCGAACGGAAAAGAATATTCAGTAGCGACATTTCGCGCATATTTTTTACTATTCTGTTATATTATGCAATATTGTATACTATTGTTATATTATGCGATATTGTATACTATTCTGTTATATTATTCAATATTTTATACTATTCAATATTTTATACTATTCAATATTTTATACTATTCTGTTATTCTATTCAATATTTTTTGTCATTGCCGAAGGCGGTCTGCGCTCAAAAAAAAATTCATGATACGTTTTAAACATCCCATCCCGATTCTCACGCCCACAAATGAGGAAAAACTCCTTCGCAACGTCGACCGAGCGGAGATTCTTCCTTTCCTCTGGAACGTCTTCAAGTTGAGCCTCGAAAGATATGCCCTGAGGGCATGAGCCAAGAATTAAGAATTTCTTCAAGTTCATTTCTCCCAGCGAAAACGCGCATCCAATTAAATATGGCCGAAGGGGAAGCATCCGAAAAGGAAATTTTTTTTTTATTTCCGCCGGAATGGATGCAGCGACTGCGAGGCGAAAATTTCCCGCGGGAGCGTCATCGTCACGTTTTCGAAAGGCCGAGCGACCTCCCTTTTCCGCGAATTTTTTTTCCGCGACCTTCGAGCCGCGAGGGGCAGAGGGCATCCCGGATCCCCGAATGACCTTTCCCCGTAAAGGACGGAGGAAACTCGGGACGCTGCATCCACTTCGTTTTCTGAACGCAATCGGCCTGTTGCGATGCAAGGGAAAATTTTCCCCGGATTGGGTAACGAGCAAGTAACGTTGCAATAACGCTATTCTTTCAATAAAAAATTGCAAAGATTCCTTTTTTTATAATAAAATCCTAAATATACAAAAGGAATTTTAAAAATCTCAATCCGGTGGTTTCTCCACCTTCCCCCCACCTTCCCCCCCACCTTCCCCTCACTAGTCCACTGACTGACCCAGGCGGAAGAACTTCCTTCTAAGGCAGGCGATTGGGGACAGGGAAATCGATATTCCCAACGCATTCCTGCGACGCAAATCGAACACCGTACATCCCGGACATGCCCTGTCATTCTCGACGAGGAATTGCTGAGAAATGTCGGCCTGTATAAAAAAAACGTCGGCCTGTAGCTTCCAGGCACGAATAACGCATTTTCTGCATTCTTTTGGCAGAAACTCGCGCAAATTGCAAATCAGCCTCCAATTAAATTGTTTTTCCAATATTGGATGTCATTAGAAAATCCGGGATTCGTCATGAACTAATTCATGAGCGAAAATGAATTAAAATAATTAAAAACTAATTTCATATTTGGGCTAATGAATTTCGTTTCTTTTTTTTTCCAGGAAACGATTCGGAGGGAATTCCGGAACTGCACGGTCCTCACGATCGCGCACCGGATCAACACCGTCCTGGATTACGACAAGTGAGTTTTAAAAGTAATTAATGAATTACGCGAATTAGTTAATTTGAATTCGCGTCTCCTCGCAGGGTCCTGGTCCTGGACGGCGGAGAAACGCGGGAATTCGGCTCGCCGGCGGGCCTGCTCCGGGATTCGCGGTCCGCGTTCGCGGCGCTGGCGCGGGACGCCCGCGTCCCGTGATTCTCGTTTATAAATTTATAATTAAATAAATATGATAATTTTTTTTCACGACTTCCATCATTTAAGGAGAAAATACTGGAGCCAGTCGCACGAAGCGGTTATTATCGTGCGTCCAGATTTTATTGGCATCGAGACGCAGGCCCACCGCTCCATCGTCGAGGCCCGCTTCGTGGAATGCGGAAATTCTTTTGGTCTTCGACCGGGGCACATCGCCTTGGCACGCACAAGATGGCACTGGAGGCGATCTCTGACGATCCGCGAAACGCCTATAGGATCCTATAGGAAACCCAAAGGTTTCCCATACGATTCCTATTGAAATGAAAATTTCGCCATATTTAAGTGAGATAAACACACGCAAAGGAAAATGCCTCTATCTTGCATCCACCC